CACTTAACTTTAACTTAACTTTAAAATAACTTGGTTTTAACATATCTTTAACTTAGCTTTATCCTAACCTTCACTAAATAATATATTAACTTTAACTTAACTTTATCTTTATTGAAACTCAACTTGATTTTATCTTTTAAAAAACTTTAACTAATTAATTTTAATTTTAATTTAACTTTACTTTAACTTTACACCAACATGAATTTAACTTTCGCGATCTGGCTTCGGATTCGCTATCGGGATACGGATTCGAATCCGTTATCGGGATCCAGATTCGAATTCCTGATCAGGATCTGGCTTTGGATTGTTCATGAATTAAAAAATAGCAAACTGTTACAAAAATATTAAAACACACACACGCATACGCCTATATACAGTGCGTACAGAATAATCTCGTCGGAAGCAGTAGGCATTATCGCCGGAATGATCCCTATCGGCATCACTAAGGCGGAGGACAGCGAGTGCTACAGGCAGAGAGAAGCCGGAAGAGTACGGAAAGTCGTGAGAGCGGAGTCGTTGACTATATGGCAACAGGAGTGGTACCTCGAGTGGGACACGACGGAGAACGGTAGATGGACACATCAGTTGATACCGATTCTTTCGACCTGAGTGAACAGAAAACACGGAGAAGTCAACTTTCACTTGACGCAGTTCCTATCTGGCCACTGCCGCTTTAGGAAATACCTGCATCGGTTCGGACACGCAGCGTCCAATGCGAAGGGAGATGCCCGTCCTCAACGTGGAGATTGTCGTACATGATATGTGTCGAGACCAGGGCACTTGGAATGCCGTTAGCAGCACAGTTGCTCAAATGTTGTCGAAGGTGCAGCGTAAATGGAGAGATGAGCAGCGATCTAGTAACACCAGCTAGTGCTAAGAGTATGAGAAGTGCATGAGCACAGCCACCCCCCGAAGTAGTCGCTTCACCGTAGTCCCGGGAGGATCAAGGCAGAGGAGAGATAAGGAATGGGTTTTAGTGGAGCTGTGCACCGTGCCAACTTCACTACAGGCCAGGCTTTTTGAAGGTTTCCTAAACCTTGCTATGAAAAAAAAACACAGACACACACACACACACACACACACACACACACACACACACACACACACACACACGCGTGCGCGCACACAATTCCACCGCATCCTCAAGGATGTTGGAACATATCCGGATGTAGCCTAGAAAACCAATTATGACTATTGATTTTACTCTGAATCACTTCTTTAAATAAACAACAATTCAGTTCGGAGGATCACAATCCCCAGACATCCTAAAGGATGTTTAACTCATCCGAATTCCTCCAGCGGATTAATTATGACAAATGATGTCACTTAAAACAACAAACAGGGCAATACTTATCTTAAATCAACTTCCCGTAGCTAATTCCAGCTTCACCATCATGTATCCAGAATTGCACTTAACTGGATCTGGATGAAAAATATAAACAAAAATTATCAACATTGCCCTTGTTTCCGTTTGCATGCAGTATATTTACCTTGAGAGTATTCCACTTGGCATTTTGGCTTGCTGATTTTGTTGACCTCCTCGGTTCCGTTGGGAGGGAATTCACCCCGGTTTCGGTTGAATAAAAATCCATCTCGGTGTGGAGTCCACTCCCAGTCCGTGACGCCAGCAGCCGGCTGAAAAAAATTTACAAAAATTATCAAATTATATTCACCCCTGTTCTGTATTTCGTTTCGAACGAAATTCTCATACAAAAAAATATTTTTTTGTATGAGAATTTCGTTCGAAACGAAATACAGAATAGGGGTGATTGTTTTTGTTTTTATTGAAAAGTAGTTTACTTACCTTGAGTATAAAAATGTTCCGTCTTTGGTCCCGTCGGAAGACCATTCACTCCCGAATATGGCCATCGGAGGCCAATTTCACGGCCCGAAGAAAAACAAACGACTTCCACGAATGAAATAACAACATGGCTGACCACGTAATCAGCCGCTACGAACAAAATCACAAAAAAATAAAAACAACTTCCATCCGCCATTTGGTCGCCCGGCGGATGAAATTACTCTAGCGGGGCGAGTCGCCCTTCGTCCGCATCCCGGACAAAGGGCGAACGATCAGTCTTCAAGTCGCTCAATGTCAAATGACGTCACTTTTTCGCCGGCAATTCGTGTGGGGGGGCGAGCCGTGGGCGACTAGCCCGCTGTATGTGGGCAATTAGGTTTTGCACCGTCGGGGTTAACCTCAATCTGATGACAGTTCAGTGGTACTGTTTACGTGGACTTAGTCGATTTTTTCTTGGGTGGATTTTCTCGATAATTTTTCGGACTGCAGTGAGATGTAAACCACATTTTTCTGCAATTAGGTTTTGCACCGTCGGGGTTAACCTCAATCTAATGACAGTTCAGTGGTACTGTTTACGTGGACTTAGTCGATTTTTTCTTGGGTGGATTTTCTCGATAATTTTTCGGACTGCAGTGAGATGTAAACCACATTTTTCTGCAATTAGGTTTTGCACCGTCGGGGTTAACCTCAATCTAATGACAGTTCAGTGGTACTGTTTACGTGGACTTAGTCGATTTTTTCTTGGGTGGATTTTCTCGATAATTTTTCGGACTGCAGTGAGATGTAAACCACACTTCTGCAATGTCCATGAGCAACATCCTTTCTACGCGCTGTTCCTCGACAATTTTCAAGTTGAAATTCGGAAATTTAAGAATATTTTTTTTCGAAAAAACGACTAAGTGCTTGTAAACAGTACCACTGAACTGTCAAAAAGGTTCAGCCGGCTAACACTGAGTTCATTCGTGACGTCACGCTGCAGAACCTAATGTTCACGAGCAACATCCTTGCAATTAGGTTCTGCAGCGTGACGTCACAAATGAACTCAGTGTTAATAGGCTGAACCTTTTTGACAGTTGAGTGGTACTGTTTACAAGCACTTAGTCGTTTTTTCGAAAAAAAAATTCTAAAATTTCCGAATTTTAACTTGAAAATTGTCGAGGAACAGCGCGGTGAAAAGATGTTGCTCGTGGACAATGCAGAAGTGTGGTTTACATCTCACTGCAGTCTGAAAAATTATCGAGAAAATCTACCCAATAAAAAAAACGACTAAGTCCACGTAAACAGTACCACTGAACTGTCATCAGATTGAGGTTAACCCCGACGGTGCAAAACCTAATTAGGTACTGCAGCGTGACGTCATAAATGAACTCAGTGTTAGCCGGCTGAACCTTTTTGACAGTTCAGTGGTACTGTTTACAAGCACTTAGTCGTTTTTTCGAAAAAAATATTCAAAAATTTCCGAATTTCAACTTGAAAATTGTCGAGGAACAGCGCGTAGAAAGGATGTTGCTCATGGACATTGCAGAAGTCAAGAGCAAATTTTCATTATGTCGTAAGTAACATTCGCACCAATCCGAGAAAAATAAAGTTTTGTTTTCATGACCGAAAAGTTATTCCTATTTCCAAGTAAACACATATAATCTCATAGTGATACCCGCATAAGCGCGAACCATAAATTGACCTTACCGATAATGGTTATAAATTGTTTATAATCCCTGCTAAACTTCAACTGAAATGGTTATGGAACTTTACATGAACGTTTAATGATAAAGTTTTAACCTTAAGTATTATAGTTTTTTGGAAGTGGACCTTACAAATAATGGGTTGTTAAGAACCATTACCATTCAAAATTCTTGTTTTCTCCATACATTTTCGGAAAGAAAACTATACTAAAACCTTTTAACTTATGGTTTGAGAACATTAATGGTAATGGTTATGGTAACCAGTAAGGTCCATGAATGGTTTTGTAACATCGATCAACTTTATGTGGAATATATCGCGAATTGGTTGCCTGTAAATTACTGATTACCAATTCACGATATATTTCACGTAAAGTTGAGTGATAATACAAAACCATTAATGGACCTTACTGACTACCATAACCATAACCATTAATGTTCTCAAACCATAAGTAAAAACGTTCTAATATAGTTCTCTTTCCGAAAATGTATGGAGAAAACAAGAATTTGGAATGGTAATGGTTCTTAACAACCTATTATTTGTAAGGTCCGCTTCCAAAAAACTATAATACTTAAGGTTAAAACTTTATCATTAAACGTTCATGTAAAGTTCCATAACCATTTCAGTTGAAGTTTAGCAGGGATTATAAACAATTTATAACCATTATCGGTAAGGTCATGTGATGGTTCGCGTTTATGCGGGTAGCAATGTTTAACATATTTAGCAGGGTTTTAATCATACAAATGCAAATCGCTAGCTTTCATGCTAAAAAATACTGGTTTTTGAGTCAAAAGTTATTATACGTCGTTTGGTGGCCCCTATTGTTACTTAAGTCAAAGTGTATTTACCAGGATATTCGGGAGAATTATCAATTACGTCTCCTTACGTGCAGCCCATTCATCATTTTAGGACTACTGAAACCATCTTAGCAACAAACAGTTCGATTTATTCACTTTAATAATGAGAAAACGAAACGACGAACGTACACTTTTCACGGGTTTCTCAGCGCTGTTACTTAAGTCAAACGGCATCTCCATAGAAATTGGGTGACTTAAGTAACATCGAAAACTATTTTGATCGGAAGGTGATTACGTCAAAAAGCAATTTGACTGGCAAATAAATTTAAAAATAGGATTTGATCCTATATTCGGACAGTATATAGTGTAATAGCAGGAGAATCGATTGACACTGATAGCTCGACTTTGTTTACCTTTGTTACATTCGACGTAATGAAAATTTGCTCTTGAAGTGTGGTTTACATCTCACTGCAGTCCGAAAAATTATTGAGAAAATCCACCCAAGAAAAAATCGACTAAGTCCACGTAAACAGTACCACTGAACTGTCATCAGATTGAGGTTAACCCCGACGGTGCAAAACCTAATTAGGTTCTGCAGCGTGACGTCACGAATGAACTCAGTGTTAATCGGCTGAACCTTTTTGACAGTTCAGTGGTACTGTTTACAAGCACTTAGTCGTTTTTTCGAAAAAACAAATTCTAAAATTTCAGAATTTTAACTTGAAAATTGTCGAGGAACAGCGCGATGAAAGGATGTTGCTCATGGACATTGCAGAAGTGTGGTTTGCATCTCACTGCAGTCTGAAAAATTATCGAGAAAATCCACCCAAGAAAAAATCGACTAAGTCCACGTAAACAGTACCACTGAACTGTCATCAGATTGAGGTTAACCCCGACGGTGCAAAACCTAATACTGTAATCTCATGGTGTTGATATCCCTCTCCTCGCTGAAGATAATAATTTGGATTGTGACAAAACGCTAATTCATTCATTCAAATTCTTTAATCGAAAAATTCAACATGGCAAGTGTAGAACAAGTAATGAAAGTCGGCAATTTCATGAAAGTGGCGCCAGGAAAAATTGGATACAATTCAGAAAAGGTGAGAATGATTGTTTTCCTTTTTGGGCATAAATGGTAATTGTAATGCCGCGGATATACGGATATACGGATACATTCGAACGAAATACAGAATAGGGGTGAATAAAAGTTTCAATTAGATTAACAGAACATAGTTGCATTGCTTTTCAATGACGCCCTATGACTGTTTCAAGAGCAAATTTTCATTACGTCGAATGTAACAAAGGTAAACAAAGTCGAGTTATCAATGTCAATCGATGCTCCTGCTATTACACTATAATACTGTCCGAATATAAGATCACATCCCATTTTTAAATTTATTTACCAGTCGAATTGCTTTTTGACGTAATCACCTTCCGATCAAAATAGTTTTCGATGTTACTTAAGTCACCCAATTTCTATGGAGATGCCGTTTGACTTAAGTAACAGTGCTGAGAAACCCGTGAAAAGTGTACGTTCGTCGTTTCGCTTTCTCATTATTAAAGTGAATAAATCGAACTGTTTGTTGCTAAGATGATTTTGGTGGTCCTAAAATGATGAATGGGCTGCACGTAAGGAGACGTAATTGATAATTCTCCCGAATATCCTGGTAAATACACTTTGACTTAAGTAACAATAGGGGCCACCAAACGACGTATAATAACTTTTGACTCAAAAACCAGTATTTCTTAGCATGAAAGCTAGCGATTTGCCTTTGTATGATTAAAACCCGGCTAAATATGTTAAACATTGCTATCACTATGAGATTATATGTGTTTAATTGGAAATAGGAATAACTTTTCGGTCATCAAAACAAAACTTTATTTTTCTCGGATCGGTGCGAATGTTACTTACGACATAATGAAAATTTGCTCTTGGTTTCATTGATAGATGATATTTTTAGAAATATGAGTCCTCAGTAGACATGTTTTTATCAAAGGCAAGTGTCACTCGAGCCATCTAAAACGTTCGTTATTTTATAAATTGCTGTTATGGCTCGAGTGATAAAGAAAACACGTCTACTGAGAATTCATATTTCTAAAAATATAATCTATCAATGAAACAGTCATCGGTCATCATTGAAAAGCAATGCAACTATGTTCTGTTAATCTAATTGAAACTTTTATTCACCCCTATTCTGTATTTCGTTCGAAACGAAATTCTCGAACAAAAAAATATTTTTTTGTATAGGAATTTCGTTTCGAACGAAATACATTTTAGCTATATTTGGGAAATGGTTATAATGTATACTTACAGCGAAGACAACAAATCATATAATGTCTTCGTTTATAGTCAAGGATGCCCTGCTAATTTCACCCTTTATCAGGTTAACATTATTGTAAAACAAATAAAAATATATTACTACTTGCAGATCATAACACGGTACATCCCAAAAACAAATGGAAGTATATCTGGATTTTCATCTATTATCCAATCGATTGCTCGGGAAAGCAACAATGAGGTTGTTCGAGATAGTTTCAAAGATATTGAAACAGAGCTCCAAGTGGCACAATGGATTGATTATTCTGTGTTATTTGTTTCGCCAGCTGCTAAAGATAAACACGTTGCAAAGACATTATTAAAGGTGGGTACAGTGTGAAACCGAACTTTTTGTCAGTGCAAACCTCAACCTGAGGTTAGATTAAAAAACAAACGACCAAACTGACGTTTGTCAAAAACAAGCAGACCCAATATTGATACCCGATCCAGGTTTTTTTTCGAAATATTAGGGAGATTTTTAGCCGTAGGTTACCCTAATAAAAATACCATATGCGAACAACAATAACCCAAATGATTGAACTATTCCACAAATTGTTTGGATGATACCCTGAACACGTTGTCAAGCAAAATAACCATATTCATTTTATTAGGGTAGTTCGTCTCCGTAGCCCGATCCAGTTTGGAACTGAATAATAAACGAATTTGCTATAATGAAGGGATGTTCATTCACTACCATCAGAGGTAGCCTAACACTAACACATGGAGTTTTATACTTGAATATAGATTATACTTACGAGTTGTACTTTCTACCACATCCCCCTTTCTATAAGAAAAATAATAGATTTTTATTCATTCGTTTGAAGGACAAAGATGCTGGGGATTATTTTTATTTACCCAAGGTTCATTAGGGGCATAACAATTCATTTTTATCTAAAAATCTAGGAGCGTCATTACCAGGAATTATTAGAGGAATTCAAGAATTCTCTTGAAATGCGAAACATTTCTCTATTAAGACCTGCCTGTTTTCAATGATTGGACACGAATATTTGACCCGTTGCGCACTGTAACCTGAAACATCTCCTTAACGTGAGAGTTTGTTCGTGGGATGTATATTTCGCATCAGTACGACATCCCCTACCGCGATGCCACTTGATTTTGCTCTGCGTTTATTATCCTCTCGCTCGTTTCCTGAAAATTTTAGAACATTATCCCTCCCTATCCGCAAAGCCAACTGAAGGACCAGCTGTAGCCAGATCGTACAGTTCCGAAATTGTTGACCGTAGCTTTCGATTTTGATGAAGCTCATTAGATGTTTTACCGGTGGTTGTGTGAGGTGTACTGTTATACATTTCCAGGTATAGGTCCATTTCCGTCCGCCAGATACCATAGAGTGCGTTAGCAATCTTTAACCTTTTAAGTAGAGAACAGTGTTGTCGTTCTACCTCACCTTGCGTATGGTGATGTATTATTGAGAAAGATTCATTTTGTTCGACTTTAGTTTTCGAATTCACTTGGTTATGATACTTGGAATGCCACACATTCCGAATATTCTGTCCAGTCTCTTGATTGTTTTCTTGGCGGTGATGGTGGTCAAAATTTCCAGATCAACGTGTCGGTAAAGGTCCGACGAAATCGATGGAAGTATCAACCCACGGCTAATCCGGCAAAGATCTTCGCATCGGCTCATAAGGGTCTGGAACCTGTATCGACAACCTTCACATTTCTCGCAGACTTTTATTGTTTCTTGGTCCATTGTTGGCCACCAATATCGGTCTCGCAAACGTCTTTTCATAGAAGATTGGCTAGGATGCCCTTCATGGGCAAGCATCTACATTCTGTCCCTCAACATTTGTGGAATAATCAACTTTCATCCCCGCATGACGTTTTTATTTGCAAGTTCTGACATGACTGGTGTGACCTGACCGACGTTTCAAGCGTCGGCCATTTGTCTCAACAAAGACTAGCACAATGCACAACCGTGCGCTACAAGATTAGTTAAATGACTTAATTCACCATGCAGTCAAGCATAAAGGCGAAGCTCATGCTTTGGTTAGTTTCCCAGGGATTCCAGATGATTTTTTCAAAAGTGTGTTATGAGTTTCAAAAAAAAACGTCTGTATTTATCTGTACCACAAACGAAGTGACAGACGACTAACTGGCGAAGAAATCCATTAAAATAATGTGGTTCACTGTAATAAAATTTTCTTGGAAGCTTGTGCCATCATCCACCAGATGGGTTAGTTTTTTTGTTTTGATTTGAACAAAGTTGATTTTGTGTACAATGATTCTTTGACAGAGAGTGTATCATTTCGTCATTTTTTTATGCATTTCAGTTTTGAGTAGAGTGAAAGAGATAGAACCAAAACATTCTAATACATTTGGTGAAAATGCTAGTACAATCCAGTAGTAGTGTTGCCATGTGGTACAATCCAGTAGTAGTGGTGTTGCCATGTAGTACACTGAAAAATTGAAATAGCAGGTTAGTCACCAAAGTTTTCGAGCCACTTCGTTTTTGATCTGTACACTAGAAAAAATCGCCGCATTGCTGATTACATCTTTCCCACATGTATTTAGGCTATACAATTACTCGCCACACGCTAAAATGATTAAATAAGCATTTTTGTACTTAAAAAATTGCGTTTATGTGTGTTTTTTTTAATTTAGATTATTATTCCTAGTACAAAAAATACGCAGTCAAAACTTAAAAAGCATTTTTCTGTTTAAAATCACGAAATTTAAAAAGATAAATATCCAATTCAAAGTCCATATACCGAACCAAAGGAATAAAGTGAAATAAAGAGAAAAAGTAAAAAAGTAACAAATGAAAAAAATGTCGAACATAGGCATGTGGATAAGGCTAGAAAAAGGTAAAATCTATTATTTCAAATAAAAATAAATTAGAAACAAATCAGAACTTACCGAACAGATGTTATTATTTAGCCTTATCATACACGTTGCTTTAATCAGTCGAAAAGCTGTTAATAATCATAACACGTACCATAATCATAACAAGATGCACACACTCGAAAATAATTTTGCTTATTTTAAGTTAAATTTCAGGAACCAATTGGTAAAAATCTGTAAACTGTATTAAGTTTCAAATATCTGTATAATGTCTGTAGTCTGTATTGGGTCTTTACGAGACATAAAAAATCTGTATAAATACAGACATATCTGTATATCTGGCACCGCTGTAGCAAAGATGAATACTAAGATGAAACTGTCGGAAGAAAAACTTTCTATTTTAGTGTCGTCTTTCACGGTCCCTTTCATCCAATGAGAACCCCCACTATTCAAGGTAATTTTGTGGTTTTGCTGCCCCCTCGGAAGAGATGAAATTTTGCGCTCATCAAAACAATCACCAAAATCAGAGATGTCCCATTTTTTAATTACTCGATTAACAACTAATTGATTATTTTTTGTTCGCTGTGTTGCCATTTTTCCACCAGAGAGAGTGCAACACATGTTTGAAACGATCGGTGATGATCCTGTGGAGATGTTAATGCTTATATCGGCATGATCTAACCGATTATAAATAGTTTACTTTTCGGTTCGTTATTGGATTAAACGATTATTCGAATGAAAATCGGACATCACTAGATGAATGTGAAACGTCATTTCAAATATAAGGCCGTTCATAAAAAATACACTGGAGTCGCTTTTTACGCGGGTGATACGTCCCGCGTAAAAAAAAAACCGCGTAAAAAAAAACCGCGTAAAAAAAAACCGCGTAAATTCCGGAATCCGCGTAAAAAAAAACCGCGTAAATTCCGAAATCCGCGTAAAAAAAAACCGAGTAAAAAAAGACCGTGTAAGAAAAAACCGCGTAAAAAGCGATATCACAAATCACAAATTACGTCTCCATGGTAACTGAAATAAACACGAGTGTTCACCGGTTGGCTGTAGTTTCCTCATCGCATATTTATGTTTGCGTTTCTTTGATCATCAAATAAGAGCTACAACTTTACTCAAGGTATAGTTATCGTTATAAGGCTGTCCACGAGACAGTTGCGATCAGCTGACTTTTGTGATTACCAAGAACTTTTGAAAGATTACAGTAGAACTGGTAGTTTATTCTCATATGAATTTCTGCTTTGTTTATAATTACATTCAGCACCATTAACACCAGATCACTCACACACTCTAGATTTCTAGCTGTCAGTTCCACTGAGAAACGCGAGGGGCACGCACTAGTCTTTCAATTAGGTTTTGCACCGTCGGGGTTAACCTCAATCTGATGACAGTTTAGTGGTACTGTTTACGTGGACTTAGCCGATTTTTTCTTGGGTGGATTTTCTCGATAATTTTTCAGACTGCAGTGAGATGTAAACCACATTTCTGCAATGTTCACGAGCAACATCCTTGCAATGCGCTGTTCCTCGACAATTTTCAAGTTAAAATTAGGAAATTTTAGAATTTTTTTTTTCGAAAAAACGACTAAGTGCTTGTAAACAGTACCACTGAACTGTCAAAAAGGTTCAGCCGATTAACACTGAGTTCATTTGTGACGTCACGCTGCAGAACCTAATTAGGTTTTGCACCGTCGGGGTGCAACCTAATTAGGTTCTGCAGCGTGACGTCACAAATGAACTCAGTGTTAATCGGCTGAACCTTTTTGACAGTTCAGTGGTACTGTTTACAAGCACTTAGGCTCTGAACCATTTGGTGGATTATTTTAACTTTTGGTTAAAATTTGACAGATGAAAAGTTATCGATTAACCCTGCTATCCGAGCATGGTTATTTCTGACAGACAAGAAGTTAAATTTTGACAACCGTGGCTCGAAAACCGGCCGATCGACAGCACGGGGATTTTCGAACATAGAAAATAACTTTCGAAATGTCACTTTTAACCACGAGTTAAATTTAACTCGGCAAATGGTTCAATGGCCTTAGTCGTTTTTTCGAAAAAAAAATTCTAAAATTTCCGAATTTTAACTTGAAAATTGTCGAGGAACAGCGCGGTGAAAAGATGTTGCTCGTGGACAATGCAGAAGTGTGGTTTACATCTCACTGCAGTCTGAAAAATTATCGAGAAAATCTACCCAAGAAAAAAACGACTAAGTCCACGTAAACAGTACCACTGAACCACAGACAAACAGACATAACACATTGAATATTTCGCACTGTAAAACATCGTCGCTAAAACATTACCGCCATCTGTTGAGTATACTGTGGTGGGTAGTACGCTGAACAGATGGCGGTAGTGTGTAACCGTCAAACGCAAAGGAATTAACTATGCGCGCTGCAGGTGGCAGTACTACCAACTAAGATACTTTTAAATTGACCGTTAAATGCATGTTCGATGAACAACTTGCGAGTGTTATGTCTGCTTGTCTGTGACTGAACTGTCATCAGATTGAGGT